TTCAAGCAACAATAACAACACAAAAGTCATTCTGTGTTGAACAAAGAACAAAATTAGTGTAGTAAAATAGCATGCATCAACAGTAAGTCAGCTGAGAGTGGGCTGTCTAAATGCTTACACAGACAGCTTATAAAGATAACCTAATACTTTTCTGTAGCACAAGACTAAAAACAATAACTGAGTTTAGTATCTCAGATTTGGACATGGTAGGTTAGGCCTGTAATCCTAGTACTTGGAAAAATAAGGCAGGAGGATTTTGAGTTTGAGGACAGCCTATACCACAAGTGAAGTTTCAGGCTAGCATGAGCTACATAACAAGTCTGAAAAAAATTCTAACTATAGTTAATGGAAGCCACATATACCAAAGTGTTAAATCCAATTCTATATTAAAACTGGCCCCTGTTTTCATTTATTTAGTTATTTATTGGTAGTGAGGCTTGAATTCAGGACCTGGCTGCTGTCCCTTAGCTTTTTTTTGGGGGGGGGGGTCCGTTCGTGGGGCCTGAACTCTGGGCCTGGGCACTGTCCCTCAGCTCTTCAGCTCAAGGCTAGTGCTCTACACTTGAGCCACAGCACCACTTCCGGCTTTTTTCTTTTTCTTTTTGCTTATGTGGTGCTGAGGAATTGAGCCCAGGGCCTCAGGCATGCAAGGCAAGCACTCTACCACTGAGCCACCTTCCCAGCCCGCCCCCCTTTTTTTTTTAAATTAAAGGTTGGTACTCTACCAATGGAGCCTCAGCTATACTTTTGTATTTTTGGTGGTTAGAGATGAGGCTCATAGACTTTTCCTACTCAGGCTGGACCCATCCTCAGATCTCATCATGAGAGATCTCATCTGAGATCTAGGCATGAGCCACATTATAGGCATATGCTAGGTGATCCCTGGTTTCATTTAAAGCATAAAAAGGATGGCCTTGTCAAGAAGCATGGTCGTACACACTTCTAATACTAGCATTTGGGATATGGAGACAAGAAGATTGCAAGTTTGAAGCTAGTCTGGGCTATATACAAAGTGCTAGGCCAGCCTAGATTGTATAATGAGATGCTGTCTTAAAGAAAAGAAAAAAAAGGAATGGACTTAAGTTTAAAATAAAATTTCAATTAAAATAATTATAAAATAATTGTATACTTTCTTGAAATAAGAGCTTTTAACTGTTGAAATACATTATAAACAGGTAAATTTGTAAAAATTTCTCCCTAAAATATATGAAATTATTTAAGTCTGATACTTATAAACATAATAATATATTAATCAAAGATATTTTGTAAATATATTTAAAAGGAAGTATTAAAACAATTTCACTAATAATATCATATTCAAATTCTATACTAGGTCCTTCCCTCTTTTACCAAGTAGCTGGATGTTGCTGGAGAAGATGACAGAACCATGCTGACTAAACTTTTAATTTTTTTAAATGAATAATCTTAAATGGTTACTTACCACTCTCAGACATTCCTACTATATTTACTTCCCAGTAAATATATTTCTTCCAATACAACCATATCACACATTTTCTCCCCTCAAATATCTGTTAATCACTTTCTTTCTCGAAAGGGATATTTAAAATATTGAATAAATTTAAAATATTAAAAGAAATTAAACCTTCTCTTTTTTCTAATGTAGTTTTTAATTTCATTGTGGTCCGGCCATATATTTAATTTCAAACTTTATTTTGTTGTGTGTATTCAATGGCTTGAACTCAGGGCCTTGGCACTGTTCCTGGGCTTTTTTGCTCAAGGCTAGCATTCTACTACTTGAGCCATAGCTCCACTTCCAGCTTTTTTGGGTACTTAATTGAAGATGAAGAGTCTCACAGATTTTCTCCTTCATGAGATCCTCAAATCTCAGACTCTTGAGTAGCTAGGGATTATTAAGTATGAGCCAACAGCACCCCGCTCAAATTTTATTATGGTGCTGAGGCTCACTCCGAGGGTCTTACACATGCTATCCAAGCACTCTACCAGTGAGCTACAGCCACATCCATCTAGGTTCTTTAAAATTAGTGTAAATTTGTTTTATGGATCAGAACACAGTCTATCTGCATGAGTGTTCCATGTTCACTTGTCAAGAGTATGAATTTTGCTATTGTTTGGTTGAGTCATAAAATAAATATCAATTAGCTTAAGAGGGATGATGTTATTCAAATCTTCTATAACTATACTAATTTTCTACCTACTTGTTCTATCAATTCTCTAATTGAAATTGCTGTGTGTGGTGGTGATCACTCATTATCCTACCTAATTGAGAAGCTAAGATAGGAGTCGCACTTGAGCCCCAGGAGTTTGGGGCCAGTTTGCACAGAAACTTTTAAAAAGTGCTAAGCTTAATCCTGGTGGCTCCCATATGTAATCCTAGCTTCTTAGGCGTCTAAGAACTGAGAATGAGGGTTCAAAGCTGGGGGAAGGAGAAGAAAGGGGAGAAGACAGACAAATCCACGAAAACCTTATCTCCAATTAATCAGCCAAAAAGAAAAAGCTGGAACTGAAAGTGGGGCTCAAGTGGAAGAGTGAGTGAAAAAATCTAAGAGAGCGCTCAAGGCCCTGAATTCAAGCACCAGAGCTTGCATTTAATTACTAAATTATAAAAATGCTGTTACGCTGTTTATTATAAATGTATTGTCTCACTTTAGAATTGTTAAAAGCACAACTTTTATAGCTATTTTACCACAATAAAAGTAAAAAAAGGGAGGGAATGGCAATGTGTTAAAAATCCTAATGGAATAGCTATTAGGCTCATTGGCTCTACTATACTTATTTTCTTCATGGCACTTAACAATACCTAACATTTTAATTCATGCTGACTTGTTTCCTTGTTTATTTTCTATCTCCCCTAGAGTATAAACTGTTATAAGAACAAGTTCTTAAAATTATTTTACTACTTTATTTCCAGGATTTTCAATGCTTCTTATCTCAGAATAGGGAAAATATTTATGAAATAAATTCATTAATCAGTGGAAGGAAATGGTAATTTGAGTATTTTTCCTGTAATACTTTTTCTTTGCCTTGTGAATATTGAACTATTACATGTAGTATTGCACTTACATATATAAAAATGACTTTTTTGTATCAGATTCACTGTCCATTCTTCCAGCCAGTTAACTTCCAGCCTCAACTCTATCCCAGAAACATAAACTTTATAGACTGCTCCTCATTCTTGTTTTTAGGTTAGTTTGTGCCAATAAGAGATGCAAGCCAGAATGTAGTAGTGTGAAAGAAAGAGTTTTGGAGACTCAATCCCTGTAGCTTCCTCTCAACTGGGTTATAGTGTGGCTGGCCATCAGGTACATGGTGTTTGCTTCCATAACAACCCTCACCACTCTCTAGTAATCCCATCTTCTCTCATCAGTTTAGGACTAAGCGTAATAATAGCCTTTTCTTTAGCTCTGGGTGCTTCTTCATTACTTTCTATGTTCTGCCACCCCTGTTTACACATTTGTAAATGGATTTTCACTGACTATGCTCAAACCATCTTTCTGTTACCTGACATGTTTTAATTAAAATGTGTGTAGTAGTAAATTAAGAGCTCATTTTGGTTTTTCACCCTACTCACTATATTCCGGCAAGTTGATCACCCACATTAACATTTAAAAGAAAAAAGCAGGAGAGAGTATTAGGATATTTGATGCTTAGAAGGAGCATAAAAATAGTCAATCGTTGACCAACTTCTCCTAAATGCAATGTCAGAATACAGTATTCTATCAAGGAATCTTTTTGAGAGACACCATGCCAGTCTACAACTAAAAATGAGATTCCGTAGTACAACCAAACATTCAGTACATTTCACAGTACACCAACTGAATGGAAAAATATAACACCTACCACAGTAGCCTTAAGCTGTGGTCCATAGCAAGATCATAGTTGTTGTTGTTGTTTTCCTCCTTTTATCCCATTTGTCAGAAAATATGTGGTGTTTGATTTAAACAGACATGAATGATTATAGGTTCTCCACGCAGAAACTGCACATAAGGTAAACTGTATTGTAGGGGAATGGGGTAATGTCAAATATTCAAATTACAGATGACATGTGAATCAGCAATTCTGACTGTTTTTCATAAAGTTAACAGACAGTGGGTGTTACAGTGCAGTGTGCGATCTCTGAGTTATACTGAAAAGCTATAGGAGTCAATTTTACGTAACACTTTCACAAGACAAGGAAGATGCTAGAATGAAATGCTAGAACGAACCTTGCCGAGAGTCACTGCAAATAAAAAGAAGGAACAGTTTTTTTACTTAAGAAAAAGGCCAAGAAGGCAGACACAGGTGGCTCACAGTTAATCCTAGCTACTCAGGAAACTGAGATCTGCTGATAACAGTTCCAAGCCAGCCCAGTCAGGAAAAAAAATCCAATTATCTCCTATTAACTATCAAAAGGCAGGAAGTGGAGCTGTGGCTCAAATGAAAGTGTTAGGCCTGAGCAATAGTACTCAGGGACAGCACCCAGGCCCCGAGTTCAAGTCTCGGGATAGGAACAAACAAACAAAAAAATAAATGCATAAACACATCAATAAAGAAAAAGAAGGCTGCCTGGCCTGTTTAGTGCTCCACAACAATGGGATTCGCTTCTGTCTTGTGTTGGGTTGGCCCACGGTCGGGAGCCCAGAGCTTTGGGCTCTGCCCCACCTAAACAGAAGAGCGGCTAGGATACGGGTGGAAGAGGCAGACAGCTGGAATGCTGTGGCTCGCCCCAGCAGTCCTTAAAATCCTACACGTTCCCGCCATAGCTTACCAATCCCTTCGCTAACGAGGCCCCGCCTTCCAGCGGCCGCATCAGCTAAAGCTACGGAAGAAACCGTGTCACTGAATACTCAACGCCGACTGGCAACCTCTCGCGGTAACTCGCGGAGCCAGAGCAGCGACGGGGGAAATCTCGCGAGACGGACATCAGCCAGGGGTGGGGCTTCACTGAAGCTCCGCCTACCCAGAGCGCGGGGCGCTGTGTGGCGGGAATTTCGTCGGCTTCCGGTTTGGTCCGCGGGAGTCTGAGCGCCGGCACCGGGTTCTCTCGGGCTGAAAGTGTGAGCCGGTACGCGGTGTACCGCGAACCACGGGAGCCTCCTGCGTGGGACACCCGTCCCCTCGCCTTCCGCCGCTGGTTGTCACCCTGCCGCGACATTCCTGCACCTTGGCCCCCGGGAAACGCGCCGTGCTGGGGTCCCGCGAGGTAGGGGCGTGCGCAGCCCGAGGCGGGCTCCGCAGGGAGTGCTGGGCCCGTCCACGGCCCACCTGGTCGTTTCTTCCCTCCTCCTCCCGTTCGCAGCCTGTCTGTCCTGGGCTGGCTGTGGATCCGACCTGTGAGGGGTAGCTGCGCGTCTGAGTGGTCAGCCTGTGGGAGGCGGTGGGCTGGGGTGGCTACCGGGAACGGGCTGTGGTGTCTCGGCGTATCCTTTGTGTTATGAATATGGGGTGGGGGGTGGGGTGGCGTTTGGGGGTTCCTTTTTGACTTCCTAACCTTGTGGCTGGTCCATTTCCAGGAATGGAAGTTTTCAACTTCTCGTCGGAGCCTTAATGAGAACCATAACGAGCCACAAGTATTTGAGGACAAGATGTAAATAATGGATGCGGTGTTCCTGACCGACAGCCTAGAGTTGGAGCTGGAGACAGAATGGTGCAAGCCTCCTTGCTTTTCCTGTGCTTTTGACAACAGAGGGGGAGGAGGAAAAGATTTTTCTGGGGAGTCTTACCTAGCCAGTGGATCCCTTAAGCGGTAGGTGGAAAAAGAAAATTTAAAAACCCAGCTATTGAAGACTGTTTTTTTCCTTATCGAAGTAATTCATCCGTTTGTTAGGGACGTTTACTTATTGCTCCAGCCCAGTAAACTTTTGGTGTTAGCCAAGCCATGTTTTGCAAAATAGAGGCTCAGTGTGTCATAAAAGTTCAAATTTATATTGTTTTTGTTGCTATCTTCGTGATTAGAGCATACCTAAGAGTATTTTCGATATTAAGAGACACTTCCTTGGTAACTGACTTTCTCCTATTTTACTACAATCTCAGCTTTGAGGTAGGGAACTAGTCACTAGTTAGGTTCTATTTAGTGAATTCTGAACCACTGAGGCTTTTTGAAATGGTATTTCCTTCTGAAAGAACATCATATTAGAACTTTTCAGTAAGTTTAAATAAGATACACACTTTTTTGTTGTCTATTCCTTCTACTCCAAAGTATCAATTCATGTATAATTAATACATGGGCCTTTTCTGCATCAGTTCGGTGTATATACATACCTCAGGAAAACTGCTTTTGAAATATTGTGATAATACTGCTGAGGCATGTTCACTTAGGAAGGAAATTTTTATCTGGGTTTTATAGTTGTACCTTGTTACAGACCTTAAAAGAGATTACACAAACTTGCTTATGCTGTACCCCAAACATAATTTAAAGTAACTGTTAGCCGTATCCCTTTCAAAGATAAATACTGTAACTCATGATGATTATAATCCTTTTGAGCTTTTCCCCCCAACATGTGTTGCCTTTTAGCTATACTTTATCATCACAAAGTTATGCGAAACCTTTATTTTCTGCCAAGAGCCACTTGGATTATTTAATAACATCATTCTCAGGCCACACAAAATTATCAATATAGACACTCCCTCATAAAAAGCATGCCTGTCCCATCATGACCCCCATGGTTTTCATGCAACCTGATGGCCAGTTCTTTACCCCTACTGAGAATGCAATTTTAACATCTTCTAGCCTTAGTAATCCTGAATGTGTAAGGAATCAAAGCATTTTCTGACTTACATGTCATCCATGGGATGAATTCAAGTGATATAATTGTTATTTTCATTTCAGATTATTTTTAAATCTTGATCCTTTGCCAACTAATTTTGAAGAGGATACAGTGGAATTATTTGGTGTCCAATGGGTTACTGAAATAGCATTAGTAAATTCATGTAGAGAGCTTTTTCATTTATGCAGGTATGTAACTTAAGTTTTGTAAAGTACATTGTGTCAAAGTGCTTTTGATACTCATTGTTCACTTGATTATTTTACTAGTAATAATAATCAGGCCGTCATGACTGAGAAAAATAGTGTTTTCACTGTGTTGTTCTTTATTGATTTTTCAGATCCTTTGCTTTTTATTTATTTTTTTGCTTTGCAGAGATCAAACTTAATCCTGTGTGTATATAGGCAAGCACTCTTATCAAGTTACATCCCAAACTAATTGTTTTTGATATCATGGTATTGGAAACACCTACAAGAAACTGAACTATATTAGTATTGTAGAAGAAAAATAAAATACTTTTGTTACTTAAATATCATAAATAAATGTAGCTTTCCATAAAGCTGTAATCTTCCAGTGATCTTTAGAGAATGAAAGTAGGCTTTCCAAATACATCTTTCAGACTGTAATAAAAATAAGATTATGTTTGTTCTTGGACAACATTTACAAAAATATTTGTCTGAGTGTGAAATACTCCTATAATCCCTGCTACTCAGAAGGCATATGCAGAAAGCTTTCTAGTTCCAAACCAACCCCATCAAAGTTAACAAGATACAACTTCAAAAATAAAATACAAGAGGATAGAGTCATAGCATTAGGCCTATACTGCTTGCCTAGCATGTATAAGGACCTGAGTTCAATCCTAGGTATTGCAAAAAAGAAAAGCATAATGGAAGTTTTCAAATATATACAAAGTAAGGGCAATGGTATTATTATTCTTCACATACTCCCTTTATAGTAAAAATCAATGTTATCTGTCACATCTCCTATTTTTTTGACTTTAATGTTTGTAAACAGATTCCAAGAGTTATGCCATATTACCTTTAAGTACTTTAGAATATATTTCTGAAATTTGAACATTTTTCTGGTTATGGTAGTGCACACCTGTAATCCCAGCTACTTGCAAGGTAGAGATTAGGAGGGGTTTAATTTGATTTTATTTTGACTCTGAGAAAACAGTACATGGGAGGCATAACATAGGAGGAACACAGTCCAAAATCACCCCTAGAATAAAAGCATAAGTTCCTATCTGAAAAAACAAGTAAAAAAAGTAGTGGCCTGGCTAAATGGTAGAGAACTTATACACAAGACTGAGTTTAATCTCTTTTACTAACAATAAATAAACTAAATAACTGAACTTAAAAAATGCCACTATGCCCTTAAAAAATTAAAAATTATATTAGTTCATTATGGAAAATAAAGTCAACAGTTAGCTTTAAGATGACATTGTATCAAAGTTGTTACAGGCAAATTAACCCAAAACAAATTTAAAATACATATGCAGTATGCGTAAATGAAAATGGAAAAGTTCCAGCATTCTCTCACCTGCATTTCATCACATTACTCACTGTGATCCTCCCACATTTTTGTGTGTTAGAGCAAGATGATTTATTTTCTGTAATCCTGAAAATAGTAGTGAATGAATCTTTTTCAGGATCTAGGTCATGAATATTGTTGAAGGTAAGTATTGCCTTCCATGATAACTATAGAGTTCTGTTCATTTTCTGAGCCATGGATAATATAATTTTACATTTCTATATATAGATATATAAATTTCCTAAAGGTAGAAACAGTAGTATTCCACTGATATTGAAATTTTTTTTTTTGGGTCTGATTGTGGGGCCTGAACTCTGGGCCTGGGCGCTGTCCCTCAGCTCTTCAGCTCAAGGCTAGCGCTCTACCACTTGAGCCACAGTGCCACTTC